ATATAAAAAAATAAAATATTTTCAGAAATTAGTATTTTTGACAATTTGACTTCCGACACAATGTCTATATGAACAATTTGAAAGAGTTTTGAAGGTGTTTCTGTTAACATGAGTGGTACATTAGGATTATTTATAGCAGGTCAAATGTTTAGCATGTTTATATAGTCTGTTATAGTTTGGGTGTCAAATTTGCATTGACACCCAATATTTGAAAAATAGATAATTTGGATTTGGAAAAAGATGTTCCATGTCGAAATTCTCCTGCCTAAGAATATTTCCATTTTTTCTGGTTTTTACGACCGAAACCGAAAATGAATTTCTGCAACGATCTCTGTTTCGGCCGAAACCGAAACTTCCTTACAAAGATTATGTTTTGAGGGAAAAATAAAGAAAACGTTATTGTAATTAGTCAGTCTTTATTTTTTATCTTTAAATTACAACGTTATGCATTCTTCGACATTTTTACTCATTGATAATCAACATAACAAACCCTTATTTAAGAAAAGATATTCATTGCATCTTAAAAATATTTAAAATAGGTGAGGTGTTTATTTGAGTAGTTGTAGATCCTTCTTTTGAATATTATCGATGGTTTTTCAAAAATATTAAACATAAAATTACTTATTTTAGTTGTTTCCTAGTATCACAATAGGTACTAGGTAATAGGTAATAAACAAAGTAAGTCACAAAATAAGTCTCGAGTCACGACATGATTAGGCATGTGGCATGTGGATGTGAAATTCTACGCGCCGAATATGACCGATCACAGCGCGGGAACTCCCGAATGTAGTTTCAGTTTCGGCCGTAGTTTCGGCAGGTTTGCCGCCGAAACCGAAACCCGTTTTTTGCCGAAACTCGACCGAAACAGAACTTTCGGTCGGACACACGACTAGACCAGACCTGACCTAAACTAACCTAACCAGACCTGTCTTGCTCTAAACTGACCTAATCTTTGACCTTTCTTTTGTGAAGGGGGAAATCGCATGGCACCAGGGCCTTGTTTCAATCAGCCCTGATAGTGTCGTGCGCTACTACGATTAAAACCCCCTTTCTTCTCCCTTGCCTCCGGGATGACCATGACTATGGTATACATCAGTTCAGGGGCTGTTCTTCTCCTTTGCTCTTCTTATTCATATCCTGCTTTCATTTGTCTCTTTTGCGTCTTTTTTTTATTCTTGGGCCTGACTTTCTCTCTCTTCTCTTTCTTTCGTGGAGAGGACCACCTTTATGTATGCGTGGATTTTTTCACAGTTGTTGTTCGTATGGGGGCGACAGCTGATTAACGAAAAACAGATTTGAACAGTTGATATTTTGTTTATTATCATATTTTTGTTATGTTTTCAGGGTCCATGCGTATTCTCATATCTAGTTCCAGTTCTCTCTCTCTCTCATCTCACACAGTCGAAAACTGCGTGTTTGGGTGAGTCATCTGCTTCACAGTAAGGGTACTTTGAATTTTCGGTCTTCCCTATTCTCACCCTATAGTTGTCGATAGACCCCTGTTCTGTCAGGAATTGGGTGAGGTAATATTCAGTCTTTCTGTGCCAGTTTATTACGTTTTTTATAAGCTTTTTTTGTGCATCTGTGGTGTTTTCTTGCCATTCTCTTTGCCATTATTTCATGGTCTTTTCTCATCCCTTACCTGTTTTTGGTGTCCATTTTCCCTGCTATACAGTTTTGCTCTCTCACGGACCAGTGGAGTTATTGGTGCAATTCCTGTGACTACTTGTATTGCTGCCGCCGATACTATTCTGTATGCGCTGCCCACCCTCAGTAGGGCCTTCCTTTGGCTGCTGTTCAGCATATTCTTGTATTTTTTTGCGTTGAGCGCATTTATCCAAATTGGGGCCCCGTATATTTGGCATGGGCCTAGTGAGTGCTGACATTTTTTTTTCAGTCTCATGTACAGCATACCTAATATGTGGTCCAAACCACAGTTTGTCATCGAGGACTTCTAGGTATTTGAGCTGTCTCGTGTGCTCTATATCGACTCCCGTTATGTTGAACTTTATTTCGCTTCTGTTTCTTCGGCCCTTCAGAATTACTGCCTCCGATTTTTGTTGTGCTATTGCCAGCTTTTGGCTGGTCATCCATCTTGTAGCTGTGTCTACAGCTTCACTCGCCCTGCCTCATCATCAGCCTCCACTATGATGGCCAGATCGTCGGCAATCTTACCCAAACTTTTTTTTTTGGTGGGGTGGAAACCCTCATGGGCACTGGCCGCTTGGTATCCATCACGAGCCAGTGTCGGACTTTTACCGACAAAAACCACCCCTTACCTTCTCTCGTACCTGGAACTGTCCTTTAGGAAATACTCAGATATGTCTAGTCTCCTGTTGTATAAATTCATATAACGGATCTATTGTCTTTGGACTAGTACATCCTTTCCTCGGCCTCCTTTTGCTTGACGACACTTCGAATAAATCCTACGGCCTTTTCCCATTTTCCTCTTGAGGTTAACATGTCCTCTACAGTGTTGTCCGGGGTCATGTCCCTCCCCGACTCTACTTCCTAGATGTATCGCTCCCTTATCCACCTGATGCATTGTCTATGTCTATGCGTCGTCTATGTTGTTACAGTAAATACAAAGGTTGTCAGTTGCTTTACCTATCTTATTAGTATACACTGTGAAGGACCCGTGACCCGTTAGGAACTGGGTGAGGAAGTAATCAGTTTGTGCGGGCACTTCAACCATTCTCCGATGTTTGGGATCAACCTCTTTGTCCATTGAGCTTTTTTCTTCATTCCTCTCCCATTTTCCCTGACACGCATCTATAGTTTTTTGTCTTTCATTTTTTTTATAGCAATTGTGACCGCGGCTCCTGCCTCATCCAGTCATCCTATTTCTTTCACAAGGAGGTCAATGGGGGGTATTCCAGCGATCACGCAGAGGGTCTCTGCTGATACAGTCCTATAAGCTGAAGTTACTCTCAGTGGCATTTTCCTCTGAGATGCCGTTACCATCTTTTTATAGGTGTCAAGTTTTCCCACACAGGTGCTGCATACAAAATGACGGATTGTACAACACCATACAGCAAGCGTCTCTTTTGCGTGCTTGGCCCTTCATATTTGGTAAGAGCTTGGACAGAGCAGTTGTATGTCTGTCCGCTTTTTCGCGTGCACTCCTTTTGTTCTCATTAAAAATGATCTTGTCGTCCAGCCAAACGCCCAAATATTTGACGAACTTTTTTGGTTTAATGATTGAACCGGCCAGCTCAAAAACAATTCCCTCTCTTTTCCTACTGATTGTAATTCACTGATCCTACTGATTGTATCCACTCATGAATTAATGTTAGACATTCGTTTGCTTTTTCCATAAGGAAGCTTGCGTTTTCTGATCTAACTATCAGGGCCAAGTCATCTGCGAATGCTGTTGTATAACAGCCCTGAGGAAAATTAAGATTCCCAGCACCATACAGAATGCTCCATAGTGTCGGCCCTATTATGGAACCTTGCGGTACTCCGTGCGTCATCTCCTATACACAATTTTCACATTTGAGTGTCCTGTGACTAAGGTAATTCACCAAGACATTTGTCAGATAGCCACTGATCCCGATATCCTGAAGATTGTCTATAATATTCACCCATTTAGCGGTATTAAAAGCATTTTTCACATCGATGAAGATAATTGCTCCCCAAGTGGGAACTCCTTTACCCGCAAGTTTGAGTACATGTGTACTGTGGATTTGTTAGGTCTGAAACCGAATTGTGTCGGTGATATGCCATCTAATTCAGTAAGTCCCACTTTCAACCTTTCAGTAAATATTCGTATAACTTGCCTATGCAATCGATGAGACAGATTGACGTAACTTCCAAATGCTCGTACAGGTTCTTCCCCTTGAGTATGAGAATTACTTTCGCCAGCTCCCACCTCTCTGGAAACTCGCATTCGCTCAGCAGGTTGTTCATTTGGCATTGATTGTTGTTTTTAAAACCCTCCATCGAGCCACTAATATGCCAAAAGTATTTTCAATGACTTGCCTGGCCCTGGAAAGTCTATAATTGAAAATTCTTTGACCATTTGTTAAATTTTTCCCAGGATAAGGTCTCATTATATATTTTTTTAATGGAAATGCTTCATCTGCAACAAAACAGAACGGTACGACAGCATTTGTTCCTGGTAACTGTTTATCTGCAGGTATGTTTAAATTTGAACATTCCATTCTCTGCCCAAACACGCTATTTTTAAAAACTCCACCATCACTCTGCGAACCATAAGCACCAATGTCAACAAAGGTAAATTTATACTCGTAATCACATGAGGCTAATAAAACAATACTATTTTTTTTATGATTGAAAAACAAAGAGTCACTTTTAGCTGGAGCTTGAATATTTATGTTTTCCATCAATACTTCCTAAGCAATGAGGAAAATTCCATTTTTCATGAAACCGTTTGGAACTGTCCAACCAATCTTTTTCAGACTCTGGAGTTTTCAAATATTCTGGACTAAGAATATCCCACAGACACTGGCAAGTCTCGTGTATGATTTTATGAACAGTAGTGAGTCCTATGTGATAATTCCAAGCGAGGATTTGCATACTAGCACCTTGTGACAAATATCTGGAATAAAATAATGGCCAATTCTAAAATTTTTTCAATAATTAAAAATGTAACCTACTGTAAAGTAACAACAAGTCTTTGTTCAGGTGAAATACCATCGGATCTAAACTGTTTACCGATTTTTGCCCTCACTTTAGTCAACAGTTTTTCGAAGGCTGGAACCGTCGTTCTGGTATATTTAAAAAATTGTTCTGGGTCCCAAGATTTCATTTTTTTATAATAGTTAATATTTCCTGAGGTCCTTCTTGCCCTATTGATGGGTCTCACTTTAAATCGTCTTTGCCTCCGACGATTTGTTACTAGATATGCCGCATATGAGCACAAAATAAGTCCACACACAGCAAGTGAATACTCGGCTTCAAAATCCAAATCCATCTTTATTAAAGAATATAATTTTAAGATGCTGCTCCTCCTTTCGGGATTACAGAACACCCTAGATATCATAAAATAAAAACACGCACTGATAACAAAGAACCTCTAATCTTTGCTGACAACTTCTCACTGTCATATGACACATTACGTTGAGGTTATGATAGTTTCAATAACTGCCAACGGCAAGTTTATAAATGGTCAATTCCGTTGCTACGAACTGCCCACGCCAACGTCAGCGCGAACGTCAACGCAAACGGCGAACGTCAAGTTTATAAATCCCGCTTAAAGCCCAGCATAGACCTGAAGCCACCCACATAAAAACTGAAGCGTCTCTTATCTTGATGCGTCGCCCATCACATTTGGGACATAAATATTCACCTTCTTGCGGTATTAGCTGCCAGTTTCTGAAATGCATAAGTAAATCTTGCTTATTATCACAAATTTTATAAATTTTGACCAAATTCATATTGAGCAGTACAAATGCCACGAACTGTCAAAACTGAATAGCAATTGTTTTACTTAATCATTTAGATTTGCAATTTACGGACATGGCCAACTCCTCAGTTTCGAAATTTCTTTACCCTTCCTGCATATCATTTATCGGGTTGGCAGAGAAGGAAAATACGTTAGCAATTTGAAAGTTATAAATGAAATAAATAAATAATGAAAAAAAATAAATGAAAGTTTATAGTGTTGTACAGATTGCTAAAGTTACCATTTCCCAAAAAAACATATTTTTTTCAACTAAAAAAGAGCATATCTCCCAAAGTTATATTCTCCGCATGGAAATTCCGCTTGATACAGTGTTTTTTTTTTCATGTTTTGAATCACCTGTGCAAGTTTCATGAAGATCCTGAAGGTTACCATATTCGTTAACTTTACCCTTCTTTTTCATTCTCTTACTGATCTTTAATCTGTCCTTTTTTAATATAGTAAGCCTGTCACTGTTCTGAAGAGGCCACATAGGGTATTTTTTTCTTTGGATCGTTTCGGTTTGAGCTTTTTGGAGGTTCTGGCCAGAACAAACACTTTTTGAAAGGTGAAGACACGTTAAAAGGAATTGAAGAGCTTGGCTTTTGCAAATCAATAATTGATGCTGTGTTGGTCTGCTGAGCCACATTATCAATATTTGGTGCTGCATTGGTCTGCTGATCTTCATCATCAATAATTGTTGCTGCGTTGGTTGGCTGATCTTCCTCATTGGTAATTGGTGCTGCATTGGTCTCCTGATCTGAATCATCCCCATCTTCAAGTTGGATATTATTAAGAAGAGGATACATCTGCCTTCCTTGTATCCGGTAGTAAGAAGAGTGAATAGTCCCTAGCCCTCGGACACTCTTGTAGTATCAGCATCAGAAAGGAGCAAGTGTTAGTCAAGGGAGACCGATAGTGAAGACAAAAGTGAGGGATCTGACCTGAGACTAGTCGAAACAGTCAGATCCACCTCACAACTCTGGGGTTGCCATTCACGTGTTTACAATCAGTGAAGACCAGGAGGGAATCTAACCTAACAACTTTTTTTCTGGAGGAGGAAATCTTCGAAAGACGCCTACCAGCTGAAATGTCCCCCGTTGGCCCTATTGCTACACGTGGAATATTTCTAGTTGGACATACATGGCGTATGTCTAAGTTATCTTACCAAGCTTACCTCTATCCAAGCTGGAGAGTCCATTTTTTCATAATATCCTTCACGTGGTTATGTAACATACTCCACTTTGACATGCTTTCCAGCATCTTCACTATTATGTTCGCCTGCGTGAATGTTTAGCCCATTTCGATTTCGAGTTTCCTGCGCTCTTTCCCATCTATCGCACTGGAAGATGGTGTGCGCTGGGGTGTCCTTCTTGTTGCAATACACCCATTTACGTCAGGGTTTTTTCATAATATACAGGGTGTTAATTAAGTATGTACCATAAATTCGATTCTTTAGGTAATTTTAAGATGAAATGTTCATATAAACATGGGTCCGCAAATCCTTCGTTCTCAAGATACAGGGTGTTAAAATAATTTAAAAAAAGTTATTCGTAAATATCTTAAATATCATTTACCTAATTTTGTTGTAATTTGGCAATGGTATTTATAACATTAAAGAGCTAATTTAGCCCGAACGTCATTCAATTTATTAAGTACAGTGGCGTCTCAAGCGGGATTTGAACGAATATTTTTGACTTAAAAATGTACGCCACTGACTTTTGTGCAATTTTTATAATATCTTTGGATTGAGCTATTAGAGATACATATTTTTGGTCTCTTGATTTTTTTTCGTAACTTGCTTAGTTTTTAAGAAAAAAAAGCGGGACCTCACAAGGAATAATATGGAGAATTAAATGTTTCTTTTGAAAATTATTATTTTTACAATTTTTCATTACTAATTATGTAACAATAACAACAAATATTAAATAACATTAACATCTAGACTAACGAATTGCACTAAATTAGGCGATGGAAATGGCCTCCTTCGGCTTCAGTATAACCGTGTAGCCGCCGCATCATTGAATTTAGCACTCTTCTGAAAATACCATAAATAATAATAAAAAACGATTGCAGCATTTAATAAACAACTTGACAGTTCGTCACCTTAGAGTTATACTGTTGTATGTACATTATTGATAATTCTGAGTTATAGCAAAAAGAAAATTTGCATATATGCCACACATCTACCATTGCTTGAAATGTTAAAGTATTCATAAATTATTGAACACATACAACTTTGTTATATCACAAAACACATGAATTTGAAAAAAATGGTCACATACAACTCTGTTACAAAATACTTTTTATTGAATGATATAGGATGAGTACAAAAATATGCAAAACTACTGACTACTTACTAAGTAAAACTATTTGAAAAGGGGTGTAATGTATACAAATAACTTGTTTCATGTATATTATATTATTACTTTGACACAGTAATGATTATTTTGGTAAAATGGCTTGAAAGTATTCTTTATCTACTTGCGGCATCCATGGGTACATACTCTTAATTGCTTCAATTTTTTCTGCAGATAAGGTTTTCTTTTCGTTTGAAACTTTCGGAGATTTCATTATTACAAGTGATCTGGTTCTCTGTAATGGTCTGATTGAAACTTTTTTCCAATTTAGTGATTGGTGTGATTCTTTAAACTCTACCTCGGTAAAACAAGTTGAAAATTTAAGAGCCTTTACTTTTGAGAAAGGTAGGACTTTATAATTAAAAGCAGTAGTACATGATATATAATCTTTGAAGTTTTCTGCACACATCTGTATAATCTTGTAAGGCCGAACAGAGTTGATCTTTAAAAGAATTCTTAAGAGCGATAGTGGTGAAAAATATTCAACTTTGTCTAGAATCCTTTTAATGCAGCTATGGACTGAATCTATCTCCTGAACACATGAATGTCCTGGAGTTGAGAATTTCATAGTTATACTCTCGATTGAAGGGTTCAGTTGTAAGAAATATGCTATTGCATAGGACATAAGAGAATTGCGATTTTGTGGTACGCAACTATCGCTCCAGAGAATTAGGTTTTTTAAACTTTTATTGTCAGCAAAAACAGCTTCCAAAATTTTAACCAAAGCACTGGCTAAATCGTTGCCAGCTTTACCCATTAACATTTCATGCCATTCAGCACAGTATACTTGTTTTGTAGTTGAAAATATAGCCGTTAAATTATATACATTAAGTTTGCTTTTGTAATAGTAGTTACTAATTTCTGCTTTGGGACACGGCAGAACATTTTACAAGTCAAAAACGGACATTCTTTGGTTTCTCTATCTTTCGCTTTCTCAACTCTAGTTGCAGTTTTTTCTTTTATGTGTTTCTCATATTCTTCAGTCTTTTCTCTAGTTAGCGTATTCTCCTTTTTCTTTAATTTTACCTCTTCACAGACGTCACACCTGTCTTTTTTGGAACATGAAAGTATAAATTATAGTGTGTATAAAAAATTTGTCTATAAAAAGACTCTTTTACAGGTTTCGTTTGAGCATTATTACAAAATTCAACGTATAGACTGTACATTTTCTTTATACTGAGGGTAGGATCTAGGTACTCCCTTTGTGTATTTGTCCTACAGTAGTGCGATTCAATCTTGGGGAAAGATTCTATGTGCTCTTTCACGAAATTGACATCTTCATCCGGTATTCTATGTTTAATATGCTTGCCAACCTTCGGTGTGTCGGGTATATTTGAAATGTCCTTCTTGGAATGGGCAGTATACACTGGAGTTTGACTGATAGCTAGAGTTCCCAGATAAAATACTTTGCATACTTGAATTTCATTACTTCCAATTTGAAAATAATACGCAAATGAGAACTTTTTTCTACTGTTTACATCAGTTTTGTATTTTCTGTGACGGCCAACCTGAAACTTTTTTGTTGTAGACAATATAAAAAGTCTTTTTGCGTGGTCGCTTAAAGTATAATATCCATCAAAAATTGCTTTTCTTTCATCTTCACTGATTTTAGTTTGGCACTTAAACAAACAATTATTCCTGCAGTCTTTCAGTGTCTCTATACGTTTCTCAGGAACTACTTTATTTCTAATCGAGACATATTCTTTACCAGCACTGTGGGCATTTTTTCTAACATTACATTTCCAAGTTTCTGGTTTTTTTACTCTCTTTCGTTTCAATGATTTAGGCAATGTAACAGTTCGGGTAAGTTCGACTGCATTATCAGCACAAACGTGTGAATCTGCATTACTAGGCAAGGTAATTTGGGCAAGTTCAACTACATTATCTTGGGACGACTCATCGGTAGATTCGCTCTCAGACGTGTCTTCTGGTGGTAAATATTCTTTGTCTTTGTCTGAATCATATCCATCAAACCCATTGAAAATTTCTGGGTAGTTTTTTAGGCTTCTTGCAGCTGCAGCAGCCTCATTTTTGTTAATCTTGGCCCTAAAACGTAACAAAATGCATACATTATAAACCCAAAATTAAAATATATTAACAAGCATTATTACTTTAAATTAGCGAGTAGTTCGTTATCAGATTCAGAATCTCTTGAATGTCTATCCATATCACCCAAGATCTCGTCTCTAAAATATAACAATAAACTTTCAGTACAAAACTTTATTATCAGTAAATGTAACCTAATCTCACTCTTTATTTCCAATGATATATCCTCTATATCTTCTTAGCACTTACTTAAGACTTTACAGAATGAATCTTCAACTCTTATCACAACTTATTTACAGCGGCACAATGCTATTTAATTTATTTTTAGTCCATTAATTTCACAATGTTTAGTTTTGCACGATATGCTGAAGATCTAGTTACAGAA